TAACCTACTTTTAACCTAAGTGTGAATCTTGTGTAACCGATTTCTGGTTTTTTCACTATGCCCAAAATTCATATCTCCCGAATGGGTAAATTAACCATCCTATTTTTTAAGCTCATATTAAACATCAATCTTTAAGATATCTAAATACAAAAAATGAGAACGTTATTCTTTCTAATTGACGAGTAATACAACGAAATACTTTCCGCAGTGATTTTTTACTATCAGAGTTCGCGTTATGTTAAAATATTACCTTGTATTGAATCAGTGAGAACTCCTCCTTCACATGGATCATTTATCATCTACCCAAGATAGTATTGCCGAACTTTAGTAATCATATATCGCGATAACGGGCTAGAAATTCTTACGTTTATCTTTCGACTTACTTGATGTCACATGATCGATATGTTCTAATGAATTTTCAAGATATATTAAGAAAGGTAACTTGCTATTGTTCTATAGTATTGTTATGGTGAACCCTTTACATTTAAAATAGAATAGAAATTTGGATATAAAGGCGTTAGAATCTTATGATATTAGTTTAGGAAAGTAAGAAACAATAAATAATGAATACAGGTACGTGTATGTACTTTTTTTTTTTATAATATATGTCGTGTTCATAAAGGAAATACCTATACTCCTCTTTTACTTTAATAATAGATCGCTTTTCCATACAATTCTATACTCCCTAGAGCTCCCTAGAGGACCTCGGTTAGATATAATTTTATGGACAATTAAACATCACCATATAAGAGAATGTGAAAGTTTTTCAAATAGTGGATTCATTTTTTCGGGTTATGATTATAATCGACAGCGAAATTACTGAATGCGGTATTGCTTTATGATTACTATATTGTAGCTTGGTGATCGTACTTAATGTTTCGGGCGAAACTCAAATATTTCGCCAAATCCGAATTTCGCTCAACATGCAAATTCCGAAATCTGTAATTGAAAATTAGTAACTGCACATGTGATCAGCTTCGCTGCTCAGTTTCAGCTACTGTTAAACTTCCCACGCATGGTGGACAGATCTTGTATCAGTATTGAGAAGTTATCAGATATAAGCTATTGGATTCATATGTTGATAACCTGTCAAATTTAATAAAAAAATAATCCACCAAGTCTGTTGCCGTTATATGAATCTAATAATTTATAATGTTTCAAATCTGATGACCTCTTAATACTGATACAAAATCTGTTCTCCATGCATATCGGTTTAGCTGTATTTAAATTCGTAAAGATCATTAATGCACTTTGAATATATATAAATACTTAGGATCACAATGTATCCCATTAAAGAATTGGAATGTTTCATTAAAAATACATACTGTTAAACCTCTCAGAACGATATGCATGGTGGACAGATTTTGTAAGTATCAGTGAGATGTCATTAGATTTGAAACCATTATAAACTATTGAATTCATAGTGGAGACAGACTAGGTGGATTTAATTTTTGAGATTTGACAGGTTATCAACTTTGCAGGATCGGTTTTGGGAAATTCAACAGTATTTGAAATAAGCTATTTAAAACTTACATAAATAGTTTGTTGAATAGGATAGGTAACACTTCGCGTAACTCATCATTAATTTGAATTTCGCGTAACTAATCATTAATTTTAATTTCGGATAATATTGGAAGTATCGGATTTTATCGAATTTATATTAGATTTTGTCTTGTTTTCTGAATTTAGAATTTTTATTTCGGATCACCTTGTTAAATCCGAAATATTAATCGTATCGTCAACCATAGTTATGATTATAATAAGTTTTTATGATTTATGATAATATAGTATTGTGAAAAGTTAGCATAATGCAAGAAAAAAAGAAGAAAATGATAAAATAACATCTTATTGCTTACCTTTATAGTTCGCGTGCATCAATTTTCGTGTAATGTGACAGTAAGTTAAAAAATGAGCTGATTCTTAATTTATAGAAACACATTGTAGATTGGAAGCTTTTAGATGATCAATAGTTTTTCTTACAAGGCCATAATAAAATGTACTAAAGTCCATAAGGTATGTGTCGGCTTTCTTATAAAGTAAATTTCGATATAGTTATGAATTTCTATATAATCTACGGTTTAGAATTAATTCGATCGATAACTAGCCAATTAATTATACTGTAAAAGAAATCACAATTTGCCGGCAATACTTACTAAAACTCATTTATTAAAGAATAGTAGTGTTTTAAGAATATCCTTTTTATTACATAAGTTTTTCAATAATAAATCAACTAACCGACTTTGTAAAACTTTATTTCACGAAGTGGTTATAATTTAAAAAATAATTATAGTGCAATAGTGATGATTCTAATTAATTTATTGAGTTTCTTTCAAAAAAGGTCTGAATTGTAAAATTTAAAATCATCTAGTAAGAGACAGTAATAGTATTTACCCTATAAAAAAAGTCGATCCGTGTTTTGTATTTCATGTTTTTTTCATAAATGTTGCATATTCACGGAATTATAAACTTAAATCATGGAGATTATTCGGCTTGACTAGATTTTATCGATCATGTTGCAGATTCACGAAGTTTTCACAAAAAATATGGAAAAATAAAGGAAATATTCGGATAAAATTTCTTACAGGGTTAAAGATGGTGAAGATATAAATATAAATATTGCAAGTGAGATAATCTCAAATTTAATTAATTTAAGACCTTTTTATTTCGAGACAAAGTTTAGTCAATAAATATTTTCAATGAAAAATTTCATATTAATATTATAAATCTTTATTTCATGGCAGTAGAGTACTCTATCTTTCATAATAACTAATAATTTAAAAAAACTATTTAATGAAATCTTTATACTATCTATATATTATTTAATGAACTTTATGCGGTGGTGCTCATTTCTCGACAACCAATTTACTGACATCTCATTTTACTAACAGCCAATTCACTGACAACTTTATTTACTGACGATTAATTCACTGACATTTTATTAACCAATACACATTTCACAGACAAGTAATTCTGGTCATTTTCGTTAAGGTTAAGCTTAGAATTAGAGTTTAGGTTAATGTGACTTATAAAAAAAACTTGCCAGTAAAATGAACTGTCGGTAAACTAAACATGTTGGTACACGTATCCAATTTATGCCATTAGAATTTAATAAATATGAAAATTTTTAAAATACAATGCATGAAACCAAAGAAACAATCTGCATCTATTATTATTTGACATAAAATTTAATGCAATAACGAAGTAAAAATAAATAAATAATATTAATGTTATATAATATTAAAAAATAATATGTTTACTATTAAATCTCTCAAAATTGATTCTGTCAAAATCTATAACCTGTCAAATCTGATAAACTGATACAAATCTGTCCATTATGAAATTATTTGATTTAGGCCGTTCTCAAGCATCTAAATCAATTGATTAAATAATGATCGTGATGACGCACAATCAATGGCGATATTTATAGAATTAAATGCTTGAGCATACTCTTTTTCTATTTTTCTTGAACTTCGTTATGCGTCTAAAAAAATCCAATAAAAAAAATTCTGTTCAACCGACTGCCGAATCTTCAGTTTCGGTTACGTCGGCTTCTCCCTTTAATGATATTAACCTTTTGTTGCAACAGCAGCAACTTATGGAACATTAGCGAAAGCTGCTTTGCAGCAACAAGAAGTAAAAAAAAATTTATTATTATATGAGCGAAAAATGGAATAGCAGTATTCATTACGGTTTGGTTAAATGTTGAAAGATGGGTTGTATTAATTACGTTCATATCAAGGTGTTGATTATTTGTCGAGCATTAAAAATAAAGTGGCTATTTTTTTAGAATGGTTTGAAATTTGTTGTGAATTTTGTTGTGAACTCATTGTTTATTATGTTTAATATGTCAAAATATAAAAGTGCGATCTTTATCGATGGTAAATTTTTGGAGAAAAAGGTGGTTTGTATCTCGTTGATTTGTTGATCGAATTGGTAACTCACTTGGTTGATTTATTTAATTTCCGACTAATTAAAATTTTACGTCCGATCCAGTGAGGTGCTTGAGAACGGCCTAAGTCGATATTTACAATTCGGCTTAGCCGGCTAAATCAAAGTCGATTAATATCTTTTATCTTCGGAACTTATCGGAAATTTAATCAAATTTTTGTTAATCTTATTACATAGTACTAAGAGTAATGCATCGAATCTAATAGGTTACTTTAATATAATCTAACATAAAATTGAAAATCGGCTGACTAAGCCAGCTAAGTCGATAAAATCGACTACAAGTACTTTCATATAAAATATATATCATTTATCAGATTTTATTTGATAAATAAAAATGATAAGCTTGAAAGTCCGAAGTTTCATTTTCTTTTGGTAGTGCTCAAATAATTTCTATACATTTTGGGTTTATACATTTAGCCTATCTTATTTTATCTCAGTATGTTACTTTTTATTTTATTTCCAATTAGCTACACAATCTTATACTAATATATATATCGTTCATTCATCTGCAAAAATTTGAATATTGTATAATCATGCGATAAAGATTGGACCAGTATTAAGCAATAATAATAACTATCGCTGTTGAAGCTGAGACTTGGGGGCTCGATTTAAAAACAGAAATTCTGCTAAAATCCAATTATATTCATTAAATATTACACAAATAAGTAGCACCCCCTTAATGTTCTGGCTATATATTATATTGGCGTTGTGATACATTGAAACGAAATAGTCTGGAAATTAGTATATTAGGAGCTCCGAAAGGTTTTTTTGCGAAACTTTATTTATTATAAACTATCCCTTACCGGAATCAACCATATTTCACACATTAAAAAGCGTGGTACAACGCCATCTTCAAAGGGCTTCTTTTGAACCATTATTAGTTATAAATTATTTCTTACCTGAAATAAACCATATTTCACACGTATTATTTATAGTTTAGCTGGGCTAAATGATTGTTAGTGAATGGTAAATGACCAATCATGAATGTGATCATCAGTCGGGTAAATAAATGCCCTAAATCATCTGTTTCAAGTGTAAGGATGTTCAAATATTTTATAATTAATTTTCTTATTTCTCGTTGCCAATATGTATGGAAAGATATAAATATCAGTAGTAATCAAACTCACTCTCATATATCGTATATACCTCATTGATAGCAATAATTTCGTAAATAAATAAAATAAGAACTCTTTTCATTTTATCATCAAAAAACTTATAGTACACTTGAACAAAAATGTTCAAATCCCAGACAAAAAAAATTTTCTCGACCATGCTTTTCGGGATACTCTTTTTCATCCTCGTCAATGCTGTCAACATTGATCTTAAGAGAAGAGGAAATGGTAAAATAGGAGATTTTTGTGATTTTGATACAGATTGTGCGAATAATATTTGTCGTACAGCTTTCTTTATAAAACCAAACACATGTCAACCAACCGATAAAAGGCCAACTGATTTTGCTTGTTTTGAAGATGCTGCATGTGCAAGTCTCCAATGTAAAGTTAAGTTTGAACATGGAGAACAGTTAATTTCAAAATTTTGTATATAGTAGTCTGGTTTATGTTATTTATATCGGAATAGGTAATAGCTCGTGGATAAATAAATTTAGTTTTGATCAACTCGCTGATAATTACTTCACAGACAACTTATTTACAGACAATTAATTTACGGCCAAACTTATTTTACAGACGATTAATACACATACAAGTTCATCTCAGACAGCTCATTTCACAAAATACTTCTAGTCATTGTCATTAAGATTAAGCTTAGAATTAGATTTAAAGTTAGTGCAATTTATAAAAAAAAGCTTATCATAGGTTATAATAGTGCTGCTGTTAGGGTGTTTATTTATTTTCTCTTTTTTATATTTATTTTTTATGTATTTTTTTTCTTTCCATTTTCTATCTGTTTGTTTTTTTTTATATTTCTTCTTTTTCAACTATTTCTTTGAAGAAGAAAAAAATCAAAATAAGAAAAAAGACAATACTGTCTATAGATCAAAAGGTGAAGCTTTACTTTAGCAAGTTGAGGTTTCAAGTGAAGAAAAATGGTTGTAACAGATTGAATCTGGGAATTATCTAGGCAGCCAGATAATTCTTTATTATGAAGAAGGAAGAGTTGAAAACATTAGTTAAAAACCTCTATATTTTAATATATATATTTTATTAATTAATAAAGGCAGGATTGTCAAAAAATAAGAATAAAAATAAACTAATAAATAGCTTTGTATTTATTTTTTATAATATTTATTAATGGGTTTTCTGGCCTAATTTTTATAATCAATTTGCCATCCTGCTTATCAATAGACTTCCAAAAAGTCCAAATGGCATTTTGTTTTTTGCTTATTAATTTCAAGCTATAAAACTTATTTTTATATATCATGGCTCTACATAGTGAAGAAAAAAATTTGTATCCCATTTTTATATTAAAGTATATTAATTTTTTATATCTAAAATACAATTAAATATAAAAATATATATTAAAAAAATAACAATTATTTATAATTTATAGCCTGCTATTAAAAAAGTTCAAGAGAAACAATAAAGAATATTAATTTAATTCTTTTTTCTAATATAAATCAAGTCTAAATTATATATCAATACTAATTAATATAGTAGAATTCAATTTAAAGCTGATTTTTTACAACTTTTTTGGTCTATAAATATGTGACTATATAAACTTAGAGCTGTAACTTATATTACATAATATCTATTTACTATGATGGCTACTCCTCCCCCACTAGTGTTCCCATGTCAGGTTCGAGTCCAATGGAGTTCGAGTTCGAGTCTGATCAAAATCCGAACTCAAAATTTTGCGGATCTTCGAACTCAAGCCGGAACCAACCTTTATTTTTCGAACTCAAACCAGACTCCCGAAAAGATAATAAATGAACATAAAGATAAGAAGGGTCGGGGGAAATTTTTGGCAAATATCGGATATTTTCCGGAAGGAAAATATAAAATCAATGCGAAGTGATGGTAGATCACGTGATCGAAAAGCAAGAGACACACATCTGTGCCACAGAGCTACCAAACGAAGCCGGGGTCATCAATTTTGCAAAAGGAAACTAATTGAAGGCGAAGATCATATGCAAATGGTGCAATGACATATGCCAACAATGCCCAGACAACGCAAAGCAAGGAAAGGTAAGACATAAATAGTGTGAGCTAAGGATTTGAAAGTTTTGGCACCAAAGAACCCAAACAGATACTTCTTTCGACCCACCCAACCCACCCTTTGATGACCACATGATCCTACCATTTCTCTGCTCGCTTTTCTCTACATTATCTGTTAACAGCTGGCTTGCTTCGGCAAAGCGGGAAATCACCAGCTTAGCACTCCTGCGGCGACTCCCAGCACAATAATTGTTGCAGGTTTTCGGGATGTCTTTGCTGTTTCTGGAAAATCTCGGCTGCTACTTATACAATGTACTACTCTGACATCTTAACAGTTTAATAAAGTCATCTCCGGCCCAAATGATATATGCCGCATCGCCAAAAAAAAAAAAAATACCGTAAATTCTCAAAATAGCAGGCATGGGCGTTATTTTGAGGTTTGGCCCGAATTAAGCTTAGTTTAGGCCAAATTTCGTAATTTTACCCTGGGCGTTATTTCGAGAATTTATGGTACTTACGATTGTGTGATACGATGCTTTTCGAAAATTTATACGTATCATGCGATACCATGCTCATTTAGGTGCCGCACAAAAAATGCGTGGCAGACCCTCGATTTTGATTGGCTAAGAGCGACGATCAAAAAATTAGACCGGAATTACTTATAATTTTATTAATGAAATCGCAGCCGCCCATTAGGTGAAAATTGTTCCTGGTCAGTCTTACCATAATGCAGGCTTATTTCTTAAAAATTTCTATTTTTGTAATGAAAAAATCAAAAAGTTAATTTCGGCCGGAAATTAGTAAACAAT